CACACCAACCTTGCCCCTGATGGGAGTGGGAGAGAGGGAGGAAAGAGGAAAGAGGAGGCATGCAAACAGGCAGTAGATGAAGGAAAGCTGAACCATGCTTTAAGCCTGTCAGGAGAGTCAGGACATTCAGGTTGAGGCCAGCATCTGATGATTGAAGTTGACTGAAGTCACTATCTCATTCTTGTTTTTTTGACTCATCGGTTTCCTTTCTGGCTCAGGATTTCTTCTGTCCTGCCCAAAGTTTCAGCGAAACTTAAGCCTGCTCACCTTCCCTAGTGGTCAAGTGCTCTGAAAGTGTGAGTTCTAGGTGGGTCAGTCTGTGGACCAGAGAAACAAGCAAAGACTGGCTCCAGCCACTGTTCAAAAACAAGTGATTTCACGAGTTTCTCTCTCTCTGGGATTCATAATATAGTGAGATCTTGGAGAACGAGAATGTCCTAAGACTCTGGTATAAAGAAATCTAGGGCAGTGCAAGTTTGTCCAGATATGGAAAGGCATTGATTACTCACAGAACTTATGCATTGCTTTTCTGAACTGACACTTTGCTTTTGAAAATAACAAGACCTTGATTTAAAATTGTTATATTAAGCTTTTCAACCAAGTGCACAATTGAAATACTTTTTCTTTTTAAAATAGCAAACAAATGTATCAGAAGACAGTGATGACGATATGGATGAAGATGAGATTTTTGGCTTCATAAGCCTTTTAAATTTAACCGAAAGGAAGGTTAGTTGTACTGGGTGACATCTGCATACTTACGCCTTAGGCTGAAACTGGCTCTATTTAATGCATGTTAAAAATGCCTTTTGTATCAGAGAACGTGGGGGGGGGGTGGGTGTGCACACGCGCATGCGCCCACTCTTATAACATTTATTGTAATCCCTTTTCAGTGAAGGTGTTGTTTGTCTTGCATCATGTGACTATTCCCCGGGGTACGGTCATGCAGCATTTTGGGCTTTGGGCCACCCTGCAGTGCCTGCTGCTGCCTGCCTGCAGCGTGCTGTGTATACGCTGAAGGTTGAAGGCGCTTCTTGACATTTACTTGTTTAATCTTTTTAATGATTTGCCGTTGAGTCCTAATAAAAACCATGCCAGCTACTTATCCCTTTGTGAATAAGACACATGCTACACTTAATCTGCAATTTTAAAAACAAACTCTGAGTTAATTTTCAATTGCCTTTGTGGGATGGGCTAGGATTGCCGGTGCACTGTGCGAGTGTTGATGATAACCTTGGCTTGCCGACAGTCATGGGTGGTAAATAAGCAATTGTGGTTCTTTTTTGGGAAATGGGCAGCAACATTCCACATTTTAAAGGCGGTGGCACTAAGCTTCCTTGGCCTTCTTTTTCTCCTTGCTTTCTAGGGCACCCAGTGTGTGGAACAAATTAAAGAGTTGGTCCTCAGCTCCTGTGAGAACAACTGTGGCAAGAGTGTGGTTGAACATTTGGAGAAGCTTTTAAATGACACCACCAAGCCGGTGGGCCTTCTGCTAAGTGAGAGATTCATTAACGTCCCTCCCCAGATTGCTCTGCCCATGCACCAGCAGCTGCAGTAAGAGACTGGAAAACGCCTTCCTTCTAACAGTCAGTTCTAAGTACATCAGGATGTGAGGCTTAAGTAGAATGTGTAGGTATAGAGGGAGTAATAGCCTAGAGGAAGCCTGTTTAGTGTGAGGAGAGAGGAATTCTGTGAAGCTCATCATTCCTGATGAGCCCTTAGGAGGATCTAATGTCACCACAATCATGTTACTGTTTTAGAAGACTTTATAAACAGTGTAGAAACCAATGGATTTCCAATGGGTAATCTTCTTACCTCATAGAAGTCACATTTCACATTCACAGATTTTTTTTTTTTTTTTTTTTTTTTTGAGTCTGGTTGTGGGGCCTGAACTCTGGGCCTGGGCGCTGTCCCTCAGCTCTTCAGCTCAAGGCTAGCACTCTACCACTTGAACCACAGCCCCACTTCCGGCTTTTTTCTTTTTGCTTATGTGATACTGAGGAATCGAATCCAGGGCCTCATGCATGCAAGGCAAGCGCTCTACCACTGAGCCACCTTCCCAGCCCACATTCACAGATTTCTAATGTGAATAAAACTGCCAACAGGACAAACCCCCAAATTCCTAAATTCCTTTGGTGTATTTTATAACTCATGAAACCATAGTGTTACTGTACCTCTCACCCCTGAGGTTTCTAATGTTGTTATTGTTGTTTGTTTGGTGCAGGAGGTTTAAGTATGCAAAATATTTAAGCAGGGTTAGCTGGCCAGGTGAACTGTGTTGCCTGTGCACTGACTCTGGGTCAGACGCAGGTGCTCCTGTGTGGTTTCTCAGGGCTCTGGCACTAAGTGTGGGATCACACCAAAGTCTTGGAGGATGCCGTGCACTTTGTCCACTCAGTGTGCTCCAGATGAACTCATTCTCCCCTCAGCTCCACTCAAATTCTGTTCCTGATGCCTTAAACATCTCGAGTCTACAGTCTCCCGGATGCCTGTTGTAAATTTGTCCTTTTCTCTAAACTGCTGAGCTTATGGTTATTTGGTCTTGCAAGAAGGTGATCTCCTTTCTATTAATTTTCTTTTTCTTTTTTTTTTATTCCGGTCATGGGCCTGAACTCAGCCTGGGCGCTGTCCCTCAGCTCTTCAGCTCAAGGCTAGCGCTCTACCACTTGAGCCACAGCACCACTTCCGGCTTTTTTCTTTTTGCTTATGTGGTGCTGAGGAATCGAACCCAGGGCCTCATGCATGCAAGGCAAGCGCTCTACCACTGAGCCACCTTCCCAGCCCTGTTAATTTTCTATTGGAGTTGAAATGAGTTGTTTTCCTCAGCTGTGGGTTTGAACTCAGGGCCTAGGTGCTGTCTTTGAACTCTTTTGTTCAAGGCTAGTGCTCTCGTACTTTGAGAGCTTCCAGTTGTTTTTTTTTTTACACTGGAGATAGAGTCTCATGGCCTTTCCTGCCCAGGCTGGCTTCAAAGCATGATGCTCAGATCTCACCTCTTGAGTAGCTTGGATTACAGATGTCAGTTACTAATGCTACAGAAGTTTCTTTACTCTTTGGTTTAGGAGTAGCCCTGTGTACAGGTTTAGTCTAATTTTTGGAAACACTTCATTGGTTATTCTAGAATTCAGGGTATTCACTTCTCTTCGGCTTTTATCGCTTATCAGAAGTGAGTCTGCGCTTATGAGAGCCTGTAGCAGTCATGTGTTGTAGTCACACTGATTCTGACCACATGCCTTAGAGGCTCTATTCAATGGTCCTTGCTCAACAAAACAGGTTCTCAGATATCTGTACTTTACCAAGAGCAGCGAGCTTGAGATTCATCTGTTAGTTGTGCTTCATGTCCATAAACTCACACTACTGTAAACATTTAGAATGCCACAATCATTCTAAAGTGCAAGCAACTGCATGAAGTCATGGCTTTACAAGTATCCATGAGATGTGGGATTGTTAGGCCTGTGTTTGGCAGAATCTGCTGAAAGCACCTCCCTGGTTCTCTGCAGTCCGGTTTGTGGACAGAGTTAACCTGGCCTGGCAGGTAAACGTTCTGTATTTGCCTCACAGGAAAGAACTAGCAGAGGCGCACAAAACTAACAAGCCTTGTGGGAAGTGCTGCTTCTACCTGCTGATCAGCAAGACGTTTATGGAAGCAGGAAGACCCAGTTCCAAGAAGGGGAGCGCCCAAAAGGATGTCTTAATGTTCGCAAATGCAGAGGAAGAATTCTTCTATGAGGTAATAAAACTATCCCATTTCCTGTTTAGATGTCAATAAGGATTTTCTTGAAAGTAATCAAGTTTTGTTTTTCTCTCATTTTATGCCAAAGTCCTTCAAAGTATGACTATTCATTTTCTATGACCCCAGAAAGCTAGTCACCAGCCTTTCCACCCCTCTGTAGGTAGTAAGCATAGGGAGGAGAGAAAAGACTACTGCTTGGAGGCTGACAAGGCCGTGTGAGACACGCTGTGATGTGAGCTAGACAGGACGGCTGAGTGGGCGATCAGTGAGGGGCTGGAGACCACACGCTGTTGGTGCAGAAGCTGGGAGTCCTTGTTGCTGAGGCCCCTGTGTGGGTGTCACGTCACTGATGGGAATCTCAGCATTGTTCCTGTATAACAGGATTGTCCTGTGACTGACCCCCTAAGTCCTGGCGGGGAGGGGGCACAGTGGGCATGTTTTTCAGAATTGGATCACATCACTTATGTTTAGGATTTCCATTGACAAGGCAAGGGATACAGATTGGGCTCTGCCCTTGTGTTCTAGGAAGATGTCAGTGAAACTGTGTGTGTGTGTGTGTGTGTGTGTGTGTTGCACTGCAGGCAGGCTACCTGGGGATATATGATGTCAGGAAGTGGCAGGTCATGTGGCCTTCCTCTGCATTCACAACAGCTTTCTGCTAGGAAGCAGCAGGAGTGACAGGAGCATTAGAAGATGATTCTTCCTATTAACGGACACGTTCAGTCTCAGTTTCACTACCTGTCATAATCAGATTACTGCAGAATCAAATGAAAACATGAAGTTGGGTGCTGGTGGCTCAAACCTGTAATTCTAACTACTCAGGCTGCAATCTGAGAATCACAGTTTAAAGACATCCTAGGCAGGAAAGTCCATGTGGCTCTCATCTCCACTTAACCACCAAAATGCTAGAAGTGGACCTGTGGCTCAAGCAGTAGAGCACCAGCCTTGAGCACAAAAGCTCAAGTAGGTTAAATGTAGGTTAATGGGTTTTGTCTTTGCTTAGCCACGTTTCTCATTCCTGCTTCCTCTTCTGCTGTAGAAGGCGGTCATCAAGTTCAGCTACTCAGTGCAGGAGGAAAGCGACACTTGTTTGGGCGGGAGATGGTCCTTTGATGACGTGCCGATGAAGCCCCTGCGAACCGTGATGCTGATTCCTGGAGACAAGATGAGTGACATCATGGAAAAGCTGAAGGAGCAGCTGTCTCTCTAGCCCACTTCCCATAGACAGCGGCGGGCTTGTTTTGTAAAATGATGAGAAACCCAAGATTTACTGAAAAACTCAGCGCTTTATTCAGATTAAGGTCCTCTACAAAAAGTAGGGCTCTTTTTTCATGTGTCCGTGACACACTTAGAAAATGTTGATTTCAATTTTGGTCAAATTATGAATGAATGTTTGATTAAAAACTTCCAGTATGAAGAATACATGGAGCAGGTAATTTAAAGAATGCAATAAAAACTCCTATTTTTTTATTTTAAAATCATTTATGAAGTGTCACTTCTTCGGGACTGTCCCGTGTTCGCTGTGTCAGCCTGTGGCTCTGGGCACGGCGTGGGCTTGCTGTGGGCTCGCGGTGGGGTCTGTGTTCGCCTGTGCCTCTGAGCACTCACTGAAGAGTGCATCTCTGTTCAGGAGTGTCTGGACACTTGTCGCATGCGTCCTCCTCCTTCTTCATGGTGGAGAGGGGGGACAGGTGGTCCATGACTTGCTGCAGAATATCCTTGCTTTCACTAGGAGGCAGATTACTGAAATAGTACTGTGGTGCCAGCTGCATAAATCTGAAACAGATAGGAGCGTGACGCCTGGGTCCTTCCCGGCCTCGGAGACCCGAATTTCATTTGAACCCCTCAAAAACACAGCCGCCTTTCATGCAACCAGTTCAGCTACATTTCTAGGGTACGTGGGCTTCTCTGGTGTTGGCCCATGAAGTGGAGGTGCCGTCTGGGTGAGGCAGTCCACAGTCCCATCACCGTATGGGGGGCAGGCCATCTGCTGGGGAGAGCATCAGTGTTGCTCTTGAGGGATCTGCCATCTCTAGTGGCTTCTGAGAAACCAGTCTCCATTCCATCACTGCCCCTCCTAGCCTGTCTCCACTTGGCAGCAACAGACATCTTAGAAGCATGGAGACGCTCATCCTCACCTGAGACCCCGTCTGCTGTGGACGGCACTTGGGATAAAGCTTAAACTCTCCGTGGCCTCTGGGGCCTGCCTGCCTCTTCTGTCTCCTCCTCTGCTCTCCTTTCCCCACTAGCTCCAGCCACCAGGGCATGTCTGTTCCTGAAAGCTGCTAAACTCATTTCTCCTCTGCCTCCCCTGCTGCCCTGCGCTGCTCTTAAAGACATGCTTTAATATTTCTGCGCTAGCTTCTCTCTCTCTCTCTTTTGTGTGTGTGTGTGTGTGTGTGTGTGTGTTATTCTTGGGGCTTTACTAACAGATGACCACAAACATATCATTTCACAGTCTGGAGACCACAAGTCCAAAGTCAAAATATAATACAACTTTTTTTTTTTGGGGTCCGGTCGTGGGGCCTGAACTCTGGGCCTGGGCGCTGTCCCTCAGCTCTTCAGCTCAAGGCTAGCGCTCTACCACTGGAGCCACCTTCCCAGCCCTTAGCTTCTCTCTTTAAGTTGCAGTCTCAGGCAGTTCTATTTCTTAGGCATCATTCAGAGAGCTGCCTGTATCCTCCAGGTAAAGCAAGATGTGTACAGGTATAAATGCCTTATAATAAAATGGAATAGAAACCAAGATTGTCATACTCCTGCAAGTGTAAATTCAAGCCTCATTTCTTTTTTTTTTTTGGTCGTGGGGCTAGGCTTGATTTCTGGGCCTGGGCGCTGTCCCTCAGCTTTTAGCTCAAGGTGAGCACTCTACCACTTGAGCCACAGCACCACTTCTGGTTTTCTGGTGGTTACTTGGAGATTAGAGTCTCACGGACTGTCCTGCCTGGGCTGGCTTTGAACCACGATCCTCAGATCTCAGCCTCCTGAGTAGCTAGGATTACAGGTGTGAGCCACCGGCGCCCAGCCCCTTATTTCTTCAAACTTACAGTTCAGGAGAGATTGCTGAGGTGACCCTGATGTAGTTGTTCTCAGAGATGCTGAACTGATGGAAGAGGACCCACTCGGGCATCTTCTTGGTGATGGAGTACGTAGATAGGGGATGCAGCTGCGCAACCTGCTTGTGAGTTAGCATCAGGTAGTTACCCGCCCCGTCAACGTCCCGAGCAATCTATAGGAAGCGTTTTAAAGAAAGTAGACTTTGCATTGGTATGTTAAACACACAAAACACTGAGAACATTCAAAGTACTTTATACGAAGAGTTAAAAACAAATTTGCCACCTATGTTTCCTGTTTTCAGATACAGACAAATGGTATTTTTTGCCCAAACTTTTGAAACATGATGACACTAACTTAGTGCTAAAATGGTGGAGCTTCAAGGTTTAGGTCAAGAAGTAGACAGAGCTGGGTGCTGGTGACTCACGAAGTTATCCTAGCTTCTCAGGAGGCTGAGATCTCATGATTCAAAGCCAGCCCAGGCAGGGAAGTCTGCAAGACTTATCTCCAGTTAACCACCAAAAAGCCAGAAGTGGGGCTGTGGCCAAGTGGTAGAGTACTAGCCTTGAGCACAAAAACTCAGGGACAGTGCCCAGGCCCTGAATTGAAGCTCCAGTTCCAGCACCCCGCTCCCCCAGCCCCCCAAAAAAGTATATGAAGGGCACATCTATGTCTGTAGTGTGCATTAGTCAGTCTGGCTATGGGACAGGAAAGGATGAGGCAGTACTTTGATCTATGTGGCATTAGTGTCAACAGCTGCATAGAGGAGATGACGGCATATGATGTTCTGCTTCCCTTTGTAGTGAAGAAGATCATGTGTCCTTTTGGACAGCGCCAATGTACTCTGGCTTATTAGCCCATTACTCCTTTGAGGGGAAGTATGTTTAAATACCAGATCTTTAGTACCATGCATTCTAGTTCGATTTAAACTGAAGGTCAGTTAAACTAGAAGTAAGTGGGAACCCCACCTCCTTTGTACCTGCATGAAGTAGCCTGACAGCAGAGCTTTCTTGATGTTCAGATTATTTTCCTTGGAGCCAAAAGCAGGTTCTGCATAGGGAAGCTCGATTCGCTTGATAATTTCTAAGAGTTCGGCTCGGATAACATCTGCCATCCTGAGAGCAGAGCCGTTGAGGAAGTAATCATGACACCACTTTTCCACACAGTCTGGAGGGAAAGACAAACAAGGGGCCGTCTCAGCTTGAAGAGCCCAGGCCTGTGGGCACTGTCTGCAGGACCTGTGGAGTCTCTTCTCCTGAGGAAGGAGTGGTAGGAAGGCAGCAAAGACAAGGTCTCTGGTGGCTGTGGGGCTGGCTGGCCTGGCACTGCCAGGAAGGGACCGTGCTGCCCGCAACTCCCATGCAGGTAGCTTTGCACTTTCCCTGAATCTGCAGCTGATAAAAGACAGCCTTTTAAGAGCTACATTTTGTCTCATGTGTTGCAGCATAGCTGTACACAGCCATGAATGTAAAGCAGGAACCAGAAGGCAGTAGAGCATAAATGCTTCTAATCCATGAGACTCTCACATTTTATTTAATAAAAGGATTACTGAGCTGGGAATGTAGCTTAGTGGTAGAGTGTTTGCCTAGCATGCATGAAGCCCTGGATTCGACTCCTCAGTACCACATAAACAAAAAGCTCAAAGTGGCTCAAGTGGTAGAGTGCTAGCTTTGGGCAAAAGAAGCTCAGGGACAGTGCTCAGGCCCTGAGTTCAAGCCCCAGGATTGGCATTAAAAAAAAAAAAAGTGGGGGGAGGGAGGGAGGGTAAGGGGAAAAACAAAGGAGGGGGTAACAGTGCTAGATAGGAAATGTACTCATTACCTTACTCATGTAACTGTAACCCTTCTGTACAGTATCTTTACAATAAAATATATATATTAAAAAATAAATGATAGCTTTGAGAAAAAAAAGGCGCATCACCAGGCTGACTTGGAGTTAATTATGTTAAGCTTATCTGTCTATACTAGCTGCAACTTTTTAGAATCCAAGTTCTCTTATCTAGTTTAGTTTGACGTTTTGTTTCCTGCCACCACTAACTTGTGCTTTGGCCTGGGATTCTACGTGGCCCAGTGCAGTAAGCAGATCCTTGTTTACCCTGTCTTGTCTACTTTGGCCTGCGTGGGGCAATGAGAGCACGTGCTTGATGAATATTGTCACTCATCCTGTTTGTTGTCAAAAGATGCTGCCAAGCCGGACTCAAGCCTGTAACCCTAGCTGCTCCAAAGGCTGAGATCTGAGGAGGGTGTTTTGAAGACAGCCCAGGCAAGAAAGTCCAATAAGCTACTCCAATAAGCTACTGAGAAAAAGCCAGAAGTGGTGCTGTGGCTCAAGTGGTAGAGTGCTAGCCTTGAGCAAAAGCAGCTCAGGGACAGTGCCCAGGCCCTGAGTGCAAGTCCTTGATTACTTTCTGGCTCCGTGGGCAAATGTTCCTTCTCAGCTCAGGAATACTAGCTTTCTGTTCTTTATATGATCCTACTACTGCCTTCCAAATTGCTGTCATAGTTTCCCACATCATTGTCAAATATTTTCCATGTTATCTTTTGGAGGAAAGGTTAAAAGGTGCCTTTTGGAAGACAGGTGAGCAAAGGCCCCTCTCAGCTCAGAGGAGCGCCGAGCTGCCTGCCTTGGCAAGGCTGCTCTGCCCTGCTCTGTCCGCTCCCCACGCATGCAGGCGCTTCCAGGTCCTCCCCGGAGAGCGAACGCACCTGCCGTTGGTCAAGCACGCGTGGCTTCTGCACACACCGTCTGCTTTCTGGGCACACTCTACTCTGGCTGGCAAAGATCCAACCAGATCCTCTCCTGCCTCCCTCAGCACTCCAGCCCAGTCTTCACTACTCCCTACAGCTGGTGTGGTTTGGCGTTCAGGGGTCTGTGTCCTCTGCAGAGGGAGCATACCAGGCTACAAGAGGAGTCAGTACAGCTCTGACAGTGGGCTCCCGGAGATGTCTGTTCCTTCTCTTCCACCCTAAGCCTCTGTCCTTGTCACTGTGTCCCCAGAAAGCCCAGGCTAAAGGCTGGCTGACCAGGGTGCCAGAGCTCCAGAGATTCAAGCGCACGTGGCAGCAAGTGGAGCAGAAGGATGAGGGTCTGCTGAACTCACAAGTCAGTCTGATTTGGGAGATAGGATTGAGAGGAAGCTTCTGAAACCATGCGCATTCACTTACGCTCACTGGTAGAGTTCAGAGCCGCGTCTTGGTAGGCCTTGAAAATGTTGATGAGGGTAAAGTGGTCACCTTCAGGATGTGAAAATGTCTTCCAACAAGTCATGGCAGCCTCCTCAGCCCCATGAGGCAGGTGGGAAAAGCAGTTAGGAGCTTTACAATGCAAAAGGTCACATGGTCAACAATACTGAGGACATTTCATCTTGGCAGATGTGCTGAGGCTCATTACTGTATGTGGACCTGCTCCTTATTGTTATTTACTTGCAAGCCAAGCAATGAGTCATCCTAAGTCTTTCTCCTCTTGGTGCACTTTGCTTTGCTAGTAACAGTTAATACCTGGCTTGCATTCCAGTATAAGCAGAGGGCCCGCAGGGCTCAGGAGCCTACACATGGGGGGAGGGCTAAGGCTGTCCTGGCACTGTAGTATTTGGCTTGTACTTCTGGCAAAAGGACATAAGAATATATAGAAGCAAAGATGCACAAAGCTGGAAGGGTGTAATACATACATACACACATACACACACACACACACGTACACACACACGTACACACGCATACAGAGTTATCTAGGGAAGAACATTTGTTGTGACACTTTCCTGTACCTCACAGACCTCCTCAGGAAAAGCAAACCTGGTATACTCTGACATGCCTGATTAGGAATCCACTGGAATTGGATTTTCTATACCAACTTTTTATATTTTTCTTTATCCTATTAAAATATTGCACTACCATTTCAAAAATCTAAATGAGGGGCTGGGAAGGTGGCTCAGTGGTAGAGCACTTGCCTTGCATGCATGAGGCCTTGGGTTCGATTCCTCAGCACCATATAAGCAAAAAGAAAAAAGCTGGAAGTGGCGCTGTGGCTCAAGTGGTAGAGTGCTAGCTTTGAGCTGAAGAGCTGAGGGACAGCGCCCAGGCCCAGAGTTCAGGCCCCATGACTAGACACACACACACACACACACACACACACACACGCACGCACGCACGCACGCACGCACACACACACACCTGCTTCAAACATTCCAAATGGATCTCACTTGACTTTACCTGTTACACGTTCGCTGCACAGAAGAATAAAGATGAAGTCATTCAAAGTACCTGTTACCATGGCAGCAATGGTCAGCATTTCATCCACGCAGTCAAATTCACAGGATGCCAAGATAGACTTTGAGAGCTGCGGGTCCAGGGGAAACTCCGACATGATGATTCCAAATTCAGAAAGATTCCCATCGTTGTCCAGTGCTGCCAGATAATCTAAGTCCTCCAATGCCTGCATCAAACTTTCTGGTGCTAAGCAACGGAAGAAAAAAAGAATAACAAGGTCATACAACCACTGTGGAACAATTACTGGATTTTCCTCTCCTGCATGACAGCAAGCCAACTATGAACAAAATGTGCAGCAACCGTTTGTCAGACACTGAAGGGCAGGCCTGGGGGAACTGGCAAAGTGAGCTCTATGGTTGTCTGGGATATGCGTTCCCAGGGCTCCCAGGCTTCCATGCCGAGAGGCGGGTCTGGAGGGAGTCTAGGGGGGAGGCTGTACTATCCAGGGCTGGGTGCCAGGGAAGTGCAAGTGTCCACAGCCATGGGTCAGAGTGTAGGAGAAAGCTAGAGATGGGATTCTGGAGACCCAAACCCTCCATGGCCAGGCAACAGAACACCAGGCAGTGTGGTCAGGAGGTGCTCAGCATGCCGGCTCAGCCAGGGTTGAGTGAGCACTGCTCCGGTGCTACTAGACAAATCTAAAGGCAAGCCTTGAATATTTACAAGAAGACAGACATTCAATGATCAACTGGTGAGACAATGTCTACCATCCAGTAAGAATTAGGAGGTACAAAAAGCAGGAAGGCACATTGTCTAATAAAAAAAATTGATCTAGGTACTAGTGGCTCACATCTGTAATTCTAGCTACTCAGGAAGCTGAGATCTGAGGGTCGTGGTTAAAAGCCAGCATGGGCAGGAAAGTCTGTGACACTCTTACCTTCAGTTAACCACTAGAAAACTGAAAGTGGTGCTGTGGCTCAACATGGTAGAGTGCTAGCCTTGAGCAAAAGAGCTCCGAGACGGCGCCTGAGCCCCCAGTTAAGTACCATGACAAAAATAAATAAGTGAAAAATTAAAATGGACCCAGAACTCAGAGGCAACAAAAATAGTAGACAAGAATATTCAGTAGGGGCTGGGACGGTGGCTCAGTGGTAGAGCGCTTGCCTTGCATGCATGAAGCCCTGGGGTTTGATTCCTCAGCACCACATAAACAAAAAGAAAAAAAGCTGGAAGTGATGCTGTGGCTCAAGTGGTAGAGCGCTAGCCTTGAGCTGAAGAGCTGAGGGACAGCGCGCAGGCCCAGAGTTCAGGCCCCACTACTGGACCCAAAAAAAAAAAAAAAAAAAAAGAATATTCAGTTATTTGCCAGTGCAAACTGGTTTTCTCCATTCCTGAATTCTTTTAGATTTACGCAGTATTGAAAATGCTATTGTGTTTATTATATCTGCTCAGTCTCCATCAGAAATGCATTTAGTCAAAGCAAACCACTTATCCTCTATCCTCACAGGATCAAGTTGTACAAAAACAATTTTTTAACTTGTCTGATACAGCGCCAAAGGGCACACCGGAAGCAAATGGCTGCTGTTCTGTTCTACCTAGGAGCTGGAGGACAGATGAGAGCTACTAGATTGCTCTCATTTATCTCAATGCAGGAAGTACAGGGTAGGTGTAGGAGATGTAGATTACCAGGGCCTAAGGAGCAACTGACTCTGTCTGCATCTGAGGGTGTTTAAAGTCACAGACAGTAAATTTCTGTGCTGTCCAGACTTTGACCATAAACTCCAGGCACTCCAGCTGTGACTTGACCAGATCCCACAGTGGCCAGGTCATCAGGAAAGCTTCTGGAAACCACCAGTGGTTGGGGAAGGACACGGATACTGAGCTGCAGCCCTGGGGGACAGCAGAGATGACCGAACACCCCACACTCTGAACATGCACTGGAAGCAAGAAATCAGTTTCCGGAAATGCAAGGCACAGGGCTGGAAAGGCCCAGGGAAATCTCCAGAGAACTTGGCACTTAGCTGGAAGTCTAAAGCTTAGCTTGAACCTCTACCTGGGCAAGGTTAGAACTTCCCTGTTGTTTTTGCTTAAAACTGAGCAGGAACATTATGGTTTCCCAGGCATATTTCAGCTTTAGGTTTTGGACACTTCCCTCTCCTGCCTGATGGTGGTTTTACTTTTTTCTTTTTGGCCTGTTGTGGGGCTTGAACTCTAGTCCTAGGTACTGTCCCTGAGCTCTTCAGCTCAAGTCTAGCTAGCAGTCTATCACTTGAGCCATGGTGCCACTTCTGGCCTTTTCTTTTTATGTGGTGTTGAGGAATTGAACCCAGGGTCTCATGCATGCTAGGCAAGCACTCTACTGCTGAGCCACCTTCCCAGACCCGGTTTTACATCATTCTTGAGAACCTATGGATTAACAGTGGGAAACACAAGGCTGTGAGAGGATGCAGTCCCAGGAAGGAAATACACACACATGTAGAAAGCTGGCTTCATCAGTGGGCCTGTGGTATGAGAGGAAGCAGCTGATGTGCTGGGAGAAGGTGCAAGGAGCAGCTGCAGGAATGACATGCAAGATGCACACAGAGCCCGGGGGGCTGGAATGCCAACACAGTCACAGAAAGCAGCAAAGCTGCTGCCTCATAAGAGACAGGCTCTCTGGCAATTGTTCCTATAAGCGTCTGGCGTGGCAGCTAGGCTTGCTTCCCAAAGGGCACTGACGGCTCATTTTATGTCCTAGAATAAAGCTGGTTGCACACAAGGTTAGGAACAGAAATGCCTTCATGATTCTGCCCCTCGTCCTGATGGCAGAAAGAGGACAGCACTTAGGGTTTTAGCAAATAGAAAGGATGAGTTAATGAATACAGATCACACACATGAAGGAACCAAGGAAGTAACTAAATAAAACCGAGTAAGTAACTAAACACGACTTGCTAATATTACATTTGACCTTGTAAGATACATCCCCCACTGTAGCCCATCTGATTGTTTTCACTAAAAAGCATAAGGATTTAGACTTGGGTTTCTCTGTGCCTGGGCTCAGTTTTGAACTCAGAGCTTTGTGCTCCTTCCTCACAGCTTTCCAGCTCATAGCTGGTGCTCAACTACTTGAGCCACACCTCTGGTTTGGAACTTTCGCATATTTGTTTGCTGGGATGGATCTGAACCCCAGTCTTCTAGGTCTTAGCCAGCCTTCTAAGTAGCTAGGATTACAGCTGTGAACCACTGGCGCCAGGCTTGATGAAGGTTCTGTGTATGTATACTCCACGGTAGATTATATGGAATGTAAGGTTTCTTCCTCTTCACAGCAGTTCAAAACCAGCCTCCTTTATTCAGCATAATACAACATCAATTTTTTTTTTGGGTCCAGTTGTGGGGCCTGAAGTCTGAGCCTGGGCGCTGTCCCTCAGTTCTGCAGCTCAAGGCTAGCGCTCTACCACTTGAGCCACACCGCCACTTCCAGCTTTTTTCTTTTTGCTTATGTGGTGCTGAGGAATTGAACCCAGGGCCTCAGGCATGCAAGGCAAGCGCTCTACCACTGAGCCACCTTCCCAGCCCACAACATCAATTTTATTAAGCTTCCTAGCCAATGCAGCTTTATGCCCGGTGTAACAGCTCATGGCAAAATCACACTTCTCTTCAAGGTATTCCTCAAAGTGCCTTGAAGGGCGACAATCACAGCATTGCCTCCCAGTTCCATGTTCCTTTTCTATGCAACCCCCAGTGCCAACCTCCTGTCTCCTGACATGGTATTGGAGAAGCCTGTTACACAAAGAGAGGTCATTCATTTTCAACAAGGCCTAAGTCTACTGGCAGCAGATGCGCCAAGACGTAGCAGAAGAGTCCAGCGCTATCGGTGACAGCGTCGTACAGTATGTCTCCTATGTTTGTAGATACAGGCCAAAGTTTTAGATGTGAATGGGAAGAACCCCGGGCTGGCTTCCTTGTCTTCCAGAAGCATCTGTCTATTCTGCCATGGGCAGAGCTCTCGGGAAGCGGCTGTGTCAGCAGCTTGAGGTTGGTGGTGACTAAGTGCATCTGAGCTCGGTTGTTCCCTGAGACTTCTCACATACCAGCTCTGCTCCTGCCCAGGACGTGGCAGGACACAACAGCCCAGGCAGTCCTCGCTGGATCCCTCTCTCTTGGTGAATCGCATCCACCCAGCCTAGGCCTCAGAGAGAACCAAACACGTCTGGGGATGTACTACTCTGAACACGACCGGTCATCCTGCTGCTCAGGATCGTCCTGCTGCTCGGTGGCCCGGATAAGAGGGGAGGAGGGAGGACATTCGTGGCAAACAGTGGCTGGATTGTGGGCGTCTCAGCGTTGCCTGCTGCAAGGCTTCAGAAGGGTTAAGGTGGCTAAGTATTTTGGTTTCCTGACAATACCCGTTTCTGCTGTGCCTGGGAAATGTGGCTGTGGCTTCACTCTGACTCATCATTCTGGAAGCAGTGAAATAAAAGATGCCTGCAGCTGGAGCATTCCACTCAACTTGTAACTGAAATACACGAACAGCACACTTGCTACCCTTTTTAAGATTCATGAAGCATGTGAAAATGAATTTGGCATAACGAGGCTACAGGCAGTGAACTGAATTCCCTCAACCTGGACCTCATTTCTAAAAGCTGGAGTTTGTTTCTCTCTGGGCTCCCGAACTGGGTCAGGAAGCCCAGGACCCACAGAGCACTCAGCAGACACACGGCCTGAGGCAGAGGCCGGGGCAGGGAACCTGCGGAGAAACTGGCCAGGAGGTGCACAGCACACTGTAGTTTCTCAGGCATTGTGACAAACAACACGAACAGCAGAGCACCCAGACCAGTTCTGTTATTTACTTCTTTGGTAAGCCTGCTAGGACATCTCAGGTAGGGCCTGAAAAGAGGGAAATTAAGGAAGTTCCTGGTATAAAGTGCAAATAAAAACTCAAGTATCAACCAAAGGGCAGTCAGTATTTTCACTTAGGAGCCTTCAGGACAACCAAACACACACTGGCTACAGGCCAGAACACGTCAGCAGACTGAAGGGAGCAGGGCCTTGCTGTGGGCTGTGGAAACACTGTCTCTGAGCATAGTGATGCTGGCCTTGGGCTAGGCCCTGAACAGTCTTAGGAGCAGGATGGGTGGGTGCAACTGAGGAAAGCTGGTGGGCAGCTGCTCTCGTGTCTAGGCCCTGCTGACATGGCTCTGTGAGGCACTGTGGTCCTGGGATGAGGTGGGGGAGAGGGAGAGACCATGGGGATTTTCAGAAGGAAAAGGAGGTGTAAAGCCAGGCACCAGTGGCTCACGCCTGTCATCCTAGCTACTGAGATCTGAGGATCACAATTCAAAGCCAACCTGGGCAGGAAAGTCTGTGAGACTCTTATCTCCAATAAAGTACTCAGAAAAAGCCAGAAGCGGAGTTGTAGCTGAAGTGGTAGAATGCTAGTCTTGAGCAAAAAGTTGTTTATGGATAGCACCCAGGCCCAGAGTTCCAAGGCCAAAGAAAAGAAAAGAAAACAAAAGAAAGGGTAACAGCCAGAAAGGTTCTGAGTCATGAGCCAGTAGGGATCTGGTCTGTGTTAAGGAGACCCGATAGTGAATGGCCAGACCATGCTGTCCCAGAGGCTGACAGTCACCTTCTCCATCTGAGTGAGTCACCGCCTTTCTTTGTGACTCAGTTTCCCTCTCTGTAAAAATGAGCAGATAATAACATCTACCTCAAGGGGCTATTATGTGAAATGATTTAGTCTGTTAGCAAACACCATATACATACATACTGGTTGTTCTGAGAGACCATCAGTGTGTAGAGGACAAGATTGAGCAGAGTACAGCTGCTCGAAAACTTGCCTGACATTTAAAACTAAACAGCCCAAATCCCTCTGGGACGGTGTGCCGAGAGGGGAGGCAGTATTTGCCCTCCACACAGGGCGGGCGCACTGGGAATACAGAGGAAAGCGCAGGGCTGTGCCTGTGCCCTGCGCTGCCAGGTCTGTCACGGGCAGTGGCTCATTGTCCTGACTCCCTTGCCCTTTCCTTCTGCACCAGGCAGCTCGGTGCTGCATCACCAGCTGTCGGAGCAGCAAGGGTTCTGACAAGGCCTGAGAATCTGGGGAGAAAGCAGAGACTGTGCCGGGAGAGGACTCTGGGTGTGCTCAGCAGAGCCCCAGGAAGAAGCTGCTCGGACTGTAATCGAAGCTGCAGTCCCAGCTTTCCTCATACCAAAGCTGGATCTAAACTGCAATGAAGTGAAATTCAGGTGAATCTTTCCAAGGTGATATGCTGACTCATAAAAAGGGATCACTGGAACTTGGAGAGAGTGAAGGAAGGGGTGACATTATCCAAAAAGAAATGTACTCATTGCCTGAATACATTAAAACTGTAACCCACACACATACACAAATTTAAAAAAGGATCAGTTGCCTTCCAACACCCACTCCAAGAAGCACCAAGCTGCCAGGAATGCATCTTTTACCACCTGTTGATCTCACCCCTGCCTCGACTCCCCACCATCCCTCTCTGTCTCTGAGAGCAGGCGGGTCCCCCTGGCTTTGGTGGCCAAGCACAGGTAATTCTCCAGGGACAGCAAAGTTATTTCTTAGGCTTTTGCCCTTATCTTCAGAGCATTTCTGCCTAAAATGAAAAAAACAGCTTTACTATCAACCAAACACTTGTGCCTGCCTGCACTGCCAGATGCCCCTTTTTCCTGGGCTGGGTAGGCAGGAAGGAAGAGGAGACATCCCAGTCCATGCCCTGCTGACCTGGTCTGTTCATGAAGTCGCAGTGGCCCAAGCCGGCAATGTCAATCCTCTTCAGGAAAAGCACCATGCTGGTGAGGTTGGCCTCCTGCATTTCTGCGGGCTTAAGTGGCCTCATGTCTTTGGAGGCAAATTCCTCAGTGTATAGGCAGAAAAGTTTTCCTACAAGAAATCAAGGGAGGCAGCTGTAATGGCCCTGGGTTGCCCTGGGGTCCTTGGGCTTCTGTGTCTGTGGGGCTACCTGAAGAAGATGACCCGAGAAGCTGCTTCCGGAGCTCTGCTTGGCTTTGGCTGATTGGCTGCAGAACGAGGGAGTTGGCTCGAATTCTGGGGTTGTACACCTTCAGAGGAAAGATGATGCTGTTAGCATCCAGAAACAGCACAGCCTCTCCTGAGGCGCCTGGGCCCAGGATGCTCCCGGTCCAATCTGGTCCAGCCCTCCCCACTGCTGTCCAACCAGGAGAGGGAAGCCAGGGGTTCTCATGAATGGATTGAAAGGCCTACATTCCCGGTGGCTTCCCTACCTCTGGGACCTCGGTGTGCCGGTGGAGTGCTGTGCTCGCGCAGGGCAGGCTCACCTCTACGCCGCACCCCGAGCTTTGCTAGGCATCGTAGCAGCACCCACGCCACACCAACAGTGGCCTGAAGGACAGTGATGGCCAGGGCCCCAGAATGGTGATTAATTCAGTTCTGAAGGGAACTCTGTTACCAGCAGGGCTCAAGGATGCTCAGTTTGTTCTCTGACTCTGAGAAGCACAAACACTGCTCTCAGAAGCCAGGATTTCTTTTGGATTTTTCTTGGATTTAATTTTAAGGAAAAAATAAAATAGTATTTATTTAAAATAATTTGATTTACAGTAATTGTTTTCTAAAAAAAGATGAATTTTTTGTCAACTATCATCCAATACTTGCTGAAATTAAAATCAATATACTTGAGAAATGAATTTCTAGCACATTTCCTGTGAAGAGATGCTAATTACACGAGGAGTTGCTAAGCTTTGATAAAGAGGCTACCAAGATGTATCTAACAGGTGTAATTTGCTGTAAAGCCACAAGGCTGGTGTATAACTCAGTACTTCACTACCATGTATATAAGTCCCAGGTTGGACTCCAGGACGGGAGGGAAGGAGAGTGGACAAGAGGAGACTGGTTTCATCTCTCCTCAGAACCTTCCCTGGCAGGTCAATCCATTTAATTTGTTCCCAAATTGCAACACTACTAGTGAGAGATGCAACCAAGATCATAGTTGCTGGCTGCAATCACTCTGTTCATGTGACCAAGTTGACAGAACCCCAGCCATGAAGTTAGTCCTCCTCCCCTTCTGGTCAGTAGGGTGGCAGGGGGTCAGTACAAAGCCCCACCCCCTGGACCTGTGAGGCAGTCGCACACCTCCTAACCTCTATGACGACAGTTACCTGTCTTCTCTCCACACCCACGTCAATCACAAATCTGACTGTGTTGTTCCAGATCAAAGACTCCCCAGAGCTGGTGGTCAACACCACTCTTCTTTGATACACTTGGCATGATTTTTCTGTCTCATCAACTGGTTTGAACACTGCACACTTCTCTTTGGGATACAAAGGAACAATCACCAGCTCTCCGAGGTCAGAGTGTAAGTTAGATCCTTCTTGACAGAACATTTCATAGACCTTTTCAATGTCCTAAAGCATCAACAACAAAAGGAATCCATGAGAATAACGTACAATAAAAACTTAAATCAGAACTCATTGAAATCTTGTACAGTAATATTACCTACCATATACAGACAAAGGTGCTGCCATGACCCCACCATGTGTCCAGCCTGATGCCATTCCTCACACTCATTGACAATGGTAGGAAAAGAGAACTCAGAATTGCACAACACACTCTGCATGTCCTCTACAGGCATATATTCTAATACATTTGGATCATTCTAAACCCAGGGGCACTTTAAAGTAGCAGAGACAATAAAGTAGGCAGGAACACTCACTGTTGATATCTCTGCATGATCCAGGCACTTAGAAAAAACTGCTTACACACATGTCAGCTATGCTGAGAAAAATGCAAACTACCTGCCAGCCAACTGTGTTCAAACCCTGGTACAGACAGCTCAAAAGGTAAGGCATTTAGTTCATGTCCCTTTACTTCTCTCATCACAGCTAGAGTTTGAGAACTTCATCTAAAACATCATCTGAGATAATTCTATTTTTTTCTATTTCTGAACTTCCCACCTTTGAAGAAACATGCTGAAGTTAGATGCATTAGAATTCACCAATAATCCCGGCTGAGAAGCTGACTTCACACACCTGAGTTTGGGAGACTCACTTCTATTCCCCATTTGTCGGCTCATGACTACAGCTTCTTTTCTATGCCATTTGTAGGATGGGCTGACGTTAACTCAAGGGTTTTGGAGGAGAGATCTGCCTAGAGAAGGAACCAGGCATCTGAGATCTCGAAGAAGTGGGGCAGCTGCCTCTTAGTGAGTCTGTGGCTAAATGTAACCAGAAAAAGAGGCAGAGGCTGTGTATGGGTCTGTGTACTGCAGCTACGTAGATCTCTTTCTTTGCTCACATTCATAGATCTGTTCTGCTCACACTGCCCTATAGTTGCTTACTGAACAAACAGCATCATTGCTCATCAAAATGAATGAAAAACTGCCAATTGGAAAAGCAGGTAAAACTTTTTTTGCAGTATGTGGTGGCATATGCCCCAGGCTAGCCTGGGCACATAACGAGATCCTGTTACAAAAGCAAAGCAAAGCAAAGGAGAGCAAAAGAAAGAGAAGCCGGGTGGGAGAGAGACAGACTTAGAGGTAGAGTGCTTGCCTAGCATGTGTGAAGCCCTAGGTTCAATTCCTCAGTACCACATAGACAGAAAAAGCCAAAGTGGTGCTGTGGTTCAAGTGGTAGAGTGCTAGCCTTGAGTAAAAGGAGCTCACAGACAGATAGTGCCCAGGGCCCGAGTTCAAGCCCCAGGAGTGGAAAAAAAAAATGACAAGACAATCAATGTCTGTAAAACTGTCTGAGAGGAACCAAGAAAGCTGTGAACACGGATTATGGAGCAAAGCAAACCTTTCCCCAAATCACAACCAGGCCGATCCTAGCAGTGCCGGGGAGCAGGGCAGAACAAGGAAAGCCTGGCGTGCCCCAGATGGCAGGGAAGGGAGATGAGACAGCACCTGCGGAACTCAGGACGGAAGCAAGAGAAAAGGCTGCCTGCAGGGGAGGTCTGCAGAAGTTGGCAGGCCTGCTATGGCTGTCCAGTTGCCCAAGGCAGGGCAGAGGAGCTGCCGGGCCTCTGGGGGAGCGGGGGCGGGGGCCGCTCAGGGAGCCGTGGCAGTGGCTGCGGCCAAGGCGGCTCCATCACTCCGCAGTGCGCACGGCCCTGGCCCTTCCAAGACGTCAAGCCTGGGAGGCTACGGCGTGACCCAGGGGACGCAGACACGTGTCTATGCACCGCGAGCCTGGTGAACACACGCCTTCTCCAGTCTATCTGTGCAAGTCACCAGTGACAGGAACTCACAGCTCATGTTACGCTCACAAGAATCAAATGTTCTAACATCCTCATTCCAATTCTGCTAGGAGCTTTATTTTCCAAAAATTCATTTTGGAAGTTTTTTTTCTTTGAGACATTCTTGCTACACAACCCAGGCTGTCCTGGAACTCACAGCCTTCCTGCCTCAGCCTTCAGAGTGCTGTGATTACAGGTATGCACCACTGGGCCTGGTTGCAGTTCAGAATTTTTGCTTACTTCTAGGCAGCACTGGGGTTTGAACTCAGGGCCTTGAGCTTGCTAGGCAGACCATTTGAGCCACACTTCCATCCCTTATTTTAATGTGAAAGATGAAAATGATGGCTCATCCTGTCAAGTTTTAATTATATGTTTATACATATTCATCAATAATACAGATTATCTATTTATACATACATGTCCTTTTTCCACTGGCAATTCTATCTCTCAATTGTTTTACATTCCTAATGTGGTCATTCTTCTCCTTCTCCTTAGACTTCACTCAGATGCACTGAGAACACTGTTTCCATAAATACTCTGCCTCCTTAATCATTTCCTTACTTTCTTGCATATCTTCAATCATTCAGCTTGGGGTATGATAACAGAATAAATGACTGTAATAGATAATGATACATATCTTAAGAAAATGTGAATCAGGGGCTGGGAAGGTGGCGCAGTGGTAGAGCGCTTGCCTTGAGCTGAAGAGCTGAGGGACAGCGCCCAGGCCCAGAGTTCAGGCCCCATGACCGGACCCCCCCCCCAAAAAAAAGAAAGAAAAAGAAAATGTGAATCATTTAGATGCCAAGAAATCCCACATGTGCTAGTCATGCATCAAAGAAGCAGATAAAGTTTAAGTGACAAGCAAACCATCTGAAGCTCCCAGAGCTAGGATCAATGTCCTTCATGTTCTGAGCCGAGTGGAAGGGCCTCTTGTCAGCACCTCCCGAGAGCACGCGAAAGCTTGGGCAAGGGCTCCAACCTGCAGTGGCTCTGGTTTGCTGGGCAGGCAGCTCTGTCTGCATCAGACAGTTTCCTTTGTTTTGTTTAATCGCTGGAACCATTACTTATGTGGGTCAGGGTCTGAGAGCGAGTGCTTTGACTCTGAGTGAGAAGATGGAAGGAAGAAAGCGCAGGTCCCTGGTTAGCGTCCAAAAATACAGGTCTAATTCTGGAGATTCTGGAGGCTTTTAGATCCAGCCCCAGAACTAAGTACAGTCATAGCAGCTGTCACACACACACACACACACACACACAAGAACCCAAATGGCCCTTGACTGTATAAATCAGTAATGAACAGAAAAGATGCTAAATTCTATACATCTACGAGTTCTCTCCAGAGAAGTTTGCAAGAAACCCAAGTTAAGCATTGTCTCATTTACTCCCCCCCCCCCCCGCCCCCTTTTTGGTGATACTAGGGTTTTTGGCCTTGTGCTTGCTAGCCAATTGTTCTACTACTTGGGCCACACTCCCAGTCTTTTTAGCTTTCATTATTTTTTGAGTTGGGTCTCTTATGCCCAGGCTAGTCTGGACTGTAATACTTGCATTTAACCTTCCCATGGAGCTGGGATGACAATGGGTAGCACCATGCCTGGCTTTTTATTAGTCAAGATGGGGGTCCTGTGAACTTTTTGCTCAGGTTAGCCCTGAACTGCAACCTTCCTGATTTCTATCCTCCCCCTCTCTCCATCCTCCCTGATAGCTAGGATTAGGACTGTCATTCATCCTTTAAGAGAAGGGACCGGGCTGGGAGTATAGCTTAGTGGTAGAGTGCATGTCTAGCATGCATGAAGCCCTAGGTTTGATTCCTCAGTACTGTATAAACAAAAAGTCAGAAGTGGTGCTGTGGCTCAAGTGGTAGAGAGCTAGCTTTGAACAAAAGAAGCTCAAAAGGGCAGTGACCAGGCTCTGAGTTCAAGCCCTAAGACTGGCAAAAAAGAAAAAAGAAAAGGGACCTAGTCCAGGGAACTGACTTCTGGGCAGTGCTATGGTTGATAGTTTAGTCCAGGGAACTGCCTTCTGGGCAGTGCTATGGGTGATAGTTTAGTCCAGGGAACTGCCTTCTGGGCAGTGCTATGGGTGGTATTTTAGCCTCAGGTCCCACTGACTACTAAGGAACATGTGTGGGGGATCTGCTGTTGCTTCACTCCATGCCAAGTTTCCACTGTTGTTCAAAGTGCGAGTGATTTTAATGCGTTGTTTATCTGTGCTTCTTAAGTGTAAAACAATGAGGTGTGATGAAATCAAACATTTAACCAGTGAGTTAGCAAACGGAAACCACTCTAGCTATTAAAAGCTTCCCAAATGAAGTACCTGATAAAGAGTATTCTTTCAGGTCAGAACATCACTTACTTGCTCACAGGCCAGGAAGACTACAACGTCACCCTTCTCTCCCGAGTGGTGAATTTCAAAGATAAGCTGTAAAATGGACTGGAAGGAGTCCTTGTGCGCCCCACTGAGGTACACCACCTCCACAGGGTGCTTTCTCTTCACTTCTATGAGAGGCACGTTTCCATAGTAAGAACTGAGTTTGCTGATCAGCAGAGGTGAGGAGTGAATTATGAGCTTCAGTTCTGGTCTTGCTAGCAAAACGTCTTTAAGAAGTCCAAGTAACACGTCAGTTGCGATGCTTCTTTCATGAACGTCGTCTAAGATGATGACCCCATAGCTACCCAAGAAAGGACTGGACATCATTTCTCTTTGCAACATGTCATCAGTACAGTACCTAGGAAGAGGAAATTGTGAAGTTAGAAGAGTCTTATGGAAAGCCATGCAAAGAACTTCCTGACAGCAAAATGCCTTTCTCTGAAATCTGCTCTCAGGAGACTTTATTTCACAAAATGCCTTGTCAGCTAAGATTCCTCCTCTTTTTTTTTAATCAGTGGAGGAAAGCTGAAGAAAATATATAAGAAGGGCTGCTCTGGCTCAGGCTCAGAGCCCAGCTCCCACATGAGGATTTCCCACTGCAGGGACGTGGTGGGGGAGTGGATTACCAAGTATATCAGTGAAGAGTAACGAGGCACAAGTACCTAAAAAGTCATCATCCAGCTGGGCAGCATGCAAACTGGCCAGAATGTCTGGAAAAAGTGCAATGAGGATTTTAATAATGTTTTCTAGAAGTTCTTTCTTGGGATCGTATTTTAAAAATAATAATAGCTACCCTATTAGTCATTCAGTACCATACATATATCTGATGCAGTTTGCCTGACTTATTGCTTGAAGAAACCAGTTTTATAAGGTTCCTGCCCATGTAAGGTATTTATCTATCCTTGTACACAGGAGCCCTGAGGCTACACCATGTCCAGAAAGGCCCAAGTGAAGGGTGGGGGCAAGTGGAAGCTGCCATTCGGAGAGGGTTCTGCTCATCTTCCTCAGAACGCCAGCCTTGGTTCATTGCAACCAGCCATTAACAAGCAGTATCTGTGTGCCCTACGTTAGCTTCCTCTCAGGTGTGTGGAACTTGGAGACGTACGAGGCAGAAGGTGTTCATGTGATCATGACGCCACCCCTGTCAGCACCTTGGGCACGCAATCTCTCATGAGCTGGAGGCTTCCTCTGAGCTTCACCTTGCCTTTGTCTACTCTCACTGCAGTGCGTCTTAGCTGTGAGCAAACTATATTTTGGACTCTACGAACGAATCCTCCTGGCAAATCACCAGACCCAGGCTGGTCTCAAGAACCCAGACAGTTCTTAATCCAGCTTCAAGAAAAAAAAAAAAAGAATGGAAGCAAATTCTTAGTATCTCGTGGTGTGTGTCAGGCACTGGTGGCAGCATGTACGTTTCTGGTTTACTTACATCTTGAAGGTAGGCAGCACTGCCAACTCAGATTTACAAATGAAGTACCTGAGGCTCGCAGGTGTCCTGTCAAGGGTCACCAAGCCAGGGCTTGGTCACAAGCCAAGGCTGAGCATCAACCACCTCGATGCCATTCGATGGTAAGGTACCTGCTCTTTCTGTCATTTTATGACACCAGAGGATTTGCTCCTCTGCCATCCTTTTCTCTTTTTTGGGGGGGGGGGGAGGGGTCCGGTCGTGGGGCCTGAACTCCGGGCCTGGGTGCTGTCCCTCAGCTCTTCAGCTCAAGGCTAGCACTCTACCACTTGAGCCACAGTGCCACTGCCGGCTTTTTTTCTTTTTGCTTATGTGGTGCAGGGAATCGAACCCAGGGCCTCAGGCTTGCAAGGCAAGCGCTCTACCACTGAGCCACCTTCTCAGCCTTGCCATCCTTTTCTTACATGTTTTTCTCCATGTTTTACCAGACGCGTAGCAGCAAATTGTGGATTCCCTTTTCTCCAACCTCAAGAAGGAACTACTTCACTACAACAATACTGAATTTTGTGCGAGATGCAAATAAATAGATCCATCATTTTTGCTAAAGTTTAATTAGTAAAATATAATGATGTTAGTTATTATTCCTTCATTTCAAAACTGTCTGCATCTATGCTTCTTCTATGTCAGAAATTCAATTGCTGTTCCTTTTCCATATTGACTTTATAGGAAGCAGTGTGCACCATAAAGCACAGAAGGAAATGAGTTACATAAATCTATCCAGGCTTAATTTTAAAAAGAGAAAACAGTGACCTATTTAAAACTCTGCTAGAGGTAGGCACCAGTGGCTCACACCTGTACTCCTATCTACTCAGGAGGCTGAGATCCAAGACCATGGTTCAAAGCCAATCCAGGCAGGAAAGACCATGAGACTCTTACCTACAATTAACCATCAAAAAAGCAGAAGTGGAGCTGTGCCTCAAGTGGTAGAGAGCTAGCTTTGAGCAAAACACCTCAAGGACAGAGCCCAGCTTCAGAGTTCAAGCCCAGGATAGGCACCAAAAACAAACAAACAACAACCACTACCACAACCCTTGGCTAGACTCTGCAGGCCAGGCCTGAGCCTTCCTGATGATTACAGGAAGCTAAAGGCATCGCAGAGGCTCACTTCTAAAACTCACTGCACCAGGATATGTTTCTCACCTTTATGTTGACAATGCCTTAAAAAGCAGGATTACCAAAACCATGCAAATAGTATTTTCACATGATGCCAAAGTTTCAGGTAATGCTTTAAATTCTTCTAAGACTTATAAAAGCCAATGATATAATACAATATTTTAAAGCCTTACTTTTTTCTGTAATTTTATATATGGAGTTTGACTTCATGAAAATTAGAAATCTTTTCATTTCTGAGAACTGAAAAGGTATTTAAAACCTTTATTACTTCTACAAGAAAAAAGATTCAGACACACACATTTAAGTATTAGAACTTGTAGGACCACTGAGCTATATCTTAGCCCAAGATATCTTGATATGTAAGTATGTGGTCCAAGAAGATTTTAGGTATATAATATTTAGGTATCTGGAATTTGTAAAAAAGACCAGAAAAAAGTTTAAGGAATAACTATATTGTCATATTTAGCTTCAAAAAAGGAGGAGGAAGAAGAGGTAGCAGGCATAAAGAGAGTTCCTTGCTGTTTTGTTTTGTTGCTGTGCAGTGGCCTTAATGTCCAGATCCTCCTGCCTTAGTTTACCAAATACTGGGATTATAGAAGTATGTCACCACATCCAGCTAAAGATAGCATCACTAAATGCCTATTATATGTTTGATAGATTAGCTACTAAGGAGTTATAAAGAAAATAAAAAAGGGAATATTGAATACAGACTTGTTTTTTTTGGTTGTAGGGCTTGAACTCAGGGCCTGGGTACTGTCCCTATGCTTTTGTGCTCAAACCTGTGCTCTACCACTTTGAGCCACAGTGCCACTTCCAGCCTTCTGGTAGCTAACTGGAGATAAGAGCCTTATGGACTTTTCTGTGCCATATGGTTCTGAACTGTGATCTTCAGATCTCAGTCTCCTGAATAGCTAGAATTACAGACATGAGCCACCAGCTCCTGGCTAGACCTGCTTTTTATACTTGGTAATAAACATTAAGTTGTCCTTTGACTTAGGGTTTACAGATACAGCTCAATGGTTCAGTACTTGTCTATCATTTGTAGGCTCTTAGGTTGTTCAACCCCCAATTTCATTAAAAAAAATCCTCTGATTTAAATAATTATTCAATCTGAGATTATTCAAAATTATAACTAGCAGTCCTCTCAAAGAAAATGAATTTGGTTCTAACATTTAATTATAATACAAACAGCTACCACCTATACCAACTGTATTTTGGTGGTATATAGTCACTCCTTAGTTCTTACAACACCCAGATTCACAAATAAGGAAACCTGGGGCCAGAGAAAAGGTAGGTGACATGTGTAAGTTCATAGTGGTGGTGAAGGCACTCACTCTGTGTCTATAAAACCATGTGAGTTCACGTGACTACTTGGCCTCCTCTTTAGAGCACCAGTACTATTTTCTCTAATCCTATCTGCTCACAACGCAGTAGCGTGTCTATGACTCTACTGGTTTGGGGAAATGTCACAGTAGAAAAGAAGGCCCAATGTCTCAACAACAGACATAAAGTCAAAACACAGAGGCTGGAAGTGGTGCTGTGGCTCAACATGGTAGAGAACTATTTTGTGCAAAATTGCTCAGGGACAGTGCCCAGGGCCCAGGTTAAAGCCCCTATGACAAAACAAAAACAAAAAGGAAAAAGAAAATCACATCCCCTCCCAAAACACAGAAGCCAGGAGAAGACAAGGCAGCTGCCTGCAGGAGACAAAGCTGGACACCATCTCCCATCCTCTTTGCCTGTAAGCTGCAGTCCTACGGTGCATGAAGGCACTTGCTCCTACTCAGACATAGTCCTTTCCATAAGACATAGTCCCGTGACTGTCAGAATTGAATGCCTGGGCTTCTTACTACAGAATCACCCGATGTAAGACAAGTTCATCATGTGACCAAGTTTAAGTAATATCCTGGCCTCCTCATGTGTCACTAGTAAACTGAGCTATCTTCATAGTGCGCGCACGTACACACACACACACACACACACACACACGTACACACACACACACACACACACACACACACACACACACACCTCTGATTCCACTCAAATAGCATAATTTCACAGAAAGGCAAAGTCAAAGTTCAGCAAAATAAACAGCAGGAAGTGAATACTCAAAAAGGATGGGCTGGAATATCACACTCATCCCCAAACCAGGCAAAGACCCAACCAAAAAGGAGAATTACAGGCCAATTTCCTTGATGAACACAGATGCAAAGATCCTTAACAAGATTCTAGCTAACAGAATCCAGAAACACATAAAAAAAATAATACACTATGACCAGGTAGGCTTCATCCCAGAGACACAGGGATGGTTTAACATACGTAAGTCAATAAATGTAATCCAACATATCAACAGAGCCAAGGTCAAGAATCACATGATTATCGCCACAGATGCAGAAAAGGCCTTGATAAAATTCAACATTCATTCATCCTAAAAGCTCTGGAGAAAATAGGAATAGAAGGAACATTTCTAAAAACAATAAAAGCCATTTATGACAGACCAATAGCCAATATTATACTTAATGGGGAAAAGCTACAACCAATCCTCCTAAAATCAGGAGCAAGGCAAGGATGCCCACTGTCTCCACTCCTCTTCAACATAGTCCTAGAACCCTTAGCCAGGGCAATAAGGCAAGAAAAAGACATTAAAGGGATCCGCATAGGGAAAGAAGAAGTGAAACTATCCCTTTTTGCAGACGACATGATACTATACCTCCACGATCCCAAAAACTCCATCCCCAAACTTTTAGAAATCATAAGTCACTTCGGCAAAATAGCAGGATACAAAATAAACCCACAAAAATCAGTTGCCTTCCTATACACTGATAGGGAGGGAAATAAAGGGAGCAACCGCATTCACAATAACCTCCCAAAAAATAAAATATTTAGGAATTAACCTAACCAAAGATGTAAAAGAACTATTTAATGAGAACTATAAAAAGTTAAAGAAAGAAATTGCAGAAGACACTAGGAAATGAAAAGACCTCCCATGCTCCTGGATAGGCCGACTTAATATAGTAAAGATGGTAATACTTCCAAAACTAATATACAAATTCAATGCAATTCCTATTAAAATCCCAATGATGTACATCACTGAAATACAGAAAACCGTCCAAAAATTCATATGGAACAACAAAAGACCTAGAATAGCCAAAACAATTCTAGGGGATAAAGACAATATGGGAGGGCTATCCATGCCGAACTTCAAACTCTACTACAGAGCTATAATCACAAAGACAGCATGGTACTGGCACAAAAACAGACCCGAAGACCAATGGAACAGAATAGAAGATCCAGAAATAAATCCACAGGCCTACAGCCAGCTGATATTCGACAAAGGAGCCAAAGACATACAATGGAAGAAACACAGCCTCTTCAACCGCTGGTGCTGGGAAAACTGGGCAGCCACATGCAGAAAACTAAAAGTGGACCCCAGCCTATCACCATGCACCAACATCAACTCAAAATGGATTAAAGACCTTAACATTAAACCTGAATCTCTGAAACTACTGCAGGACAGAGTAGGAGAGACACTTGAACTAATAGGCACAGGAAGGAACTTCCTGAACAGAGTCCCAGGGTCACAACAAGTTGGAGAGAGACTCGACAAATGGGACTACCTTAAAATAAAAAGCTTCTGCACAGCTAAATCTATCGCAACTAAGCTAGAAAGACAACCAACTAATTGGGAAAAAATATTTACCAGCAATATATCAGACAAGGGATTAACGTCCTGTATATACAGGGAACTCAAGAAACTAATCCCTCCCAAACCTAACAAACCAATTACTAAATGGGCAAGGGAACTAAAGAGGGACTTCTCAAATGAAGAAACAAAAATGGCAAAGAAACACATGAGGAAATGTTCATCATCCCTGGTGGTGAAGGAAATGCAAATAAAGACAACCCTGAGATACCACCTTACCCCAGTCAGAATGTCCCACATCCACAAATCAGCCAACGACAAATGCTGGAAGGGATGTGGAGAAAGAGGAACCCTATTACACTGCTGGTGGGAATGTACACTTATACAACCACTTTGGAAAGCAGTCTGGAGGGTCCTTAGAAAGCTAAAGATTGACCTCCCTTACGACCCAGTCATACCACTTCTAGGCATCTACCCTGAACAACAGGAACCAATATACAAGGACACGTGCACCTCCATGTTTATTGCAGCACTGTTCGCAATAGCTAGGATATGGAAACAACCTAGATGCCCCACCACAGATGAATGGATCCAAAAATTGTGGTATCTATACACAATGGAATATTATGCAGCCATTAGAAATGACAAAATAATGGCATTTGCAGGGAAATGGATGGAGCTAGAAGGAATCATGTTGAGCGAGGTAAGCCAAGAACGAAGAGACAAACGGTACATGGTCTCCCTGATAAGTGGATGCTAAATCCAAAATGTTAGGTGATACGACAAAACTAACAGGACTTAAGAAACAAAGAACTCCCACTCATCTGGTTGAACCACTACTAAATATCCCCATGCTGCTGATCACATATATGGTATATAACATGTGAACACTGTTATATATTACAGACTGTGATAGACAATTTGCTCCAGGAAAGTTAGAATGAACTTGTGACTTTGAAATTATGTAATCACTTAATCACAATCAAAAAAAAAAAAAAGAACCTCGGGGAAGGGAGGGAGGGAGGGGATGGTAGGGGGAAAACAATGGAGGGGGTAACAATGTTCAAGAGGAAGTGTACTCATTACCTCACTCATGTAACTGTAACCCTCTGTATAGTATCTTTACAATATATATATATATATATATATATATATATATATATATAAAGGGTGGGCTGGGGCCAGGGGGAAAGGAGTGAACAAATGAAGAGGAGAAAAGAAGAATTCAGTGAAGAATCCAATTTTATATCCTATAAAATTAAGATTGAGGGAAGGGGTGGGTAGGGAAGAAATAGGTGACAATGTTGAAAGATACTGTTGGTCAAAAAATACTTTATTCATAAATTGCCTGATTAAATGGCAACTCCTTTGTACAAAGATAATGAAAAAGAAAACTATATCTAAGAGTCTTTTCCAAGGATTTCCAAAGCCTGCCTGGCACTAAAGATATAAAAACACAAGCAGTGGAAGTGGAGCTGTGGCTCAAAGTGGCAGAGCACTAGCTTTGAGCAAAAAGAGTCCAGGGACAGTGCCCAGGCCTTGAGTTCAAGCCCCATAACTGACAAACAACAACAACAAAAACCATCTATTGTCAGGCACAGTGGCTCATGTCTGTATTCCTATCTACTCAAAAGGCTGAGATGTGAGGCTTGCATGATTTGATGCCAGCCTGGGCAGGAAAGTCCATGAGATTCTTATCTCCAATTAACCACCAAAAAAAAAAAAAAAAAATCACAAGTACTAGCCTTGAGCAAAAGAGCTCAGGAACAGCAACTAAGCCCTGAGTTCAAACCCTACAACCAACAAAATAAATAAATAAATAAAAATACAGAGTGACTTGAGAGCTTAGTCATAGTCATCACTTAATTAAAACTATGGCTTTAAAATGTAAACATTTCAGAGTAAAAACCAAGTTAAAGAATAAATTCAGGGGCCCTTTGCCCGGTGGTAGTGTAGGACATGTCCTGTCTAACCAGTCCTGCATTAGCCTGTAAGTGACAAACAGGAAGGGAGGGTTGGGCATTTCTCTTGTGTCACTCACTTAGCACTTACAGAAGAGGTCATTTGTAAATACATACTAACTAGATATATTACAAAGGCAGTATGTCTCAGATAGATTCAAGTAGGAGTGTGGTTGAGCTATAGATTCCCTGTGGTCCAACACTGGCTTGAAGAAAAATATCTCCTATTTCTGAAGATAAACATAGGGAGAGCAACTTGGTTCAAACCACTTGAGTTATGTGGGCTTTCTGAATGGGCTCTGAGCTGGGCCCGAGTCTGCAGCAGCCAGTGGGGCTGAGCAACACGCCCTTCACCACCAGTTACTGTGTACCTGCTTTAGATGCTGGGGTATGGGTGTACGGAAAGCCACCCCTGCCCTGCTCCTCTGGAACATGCCACACAAAAGGATGAACGATGTGCAGATACTCCAGAGGCCAGGTGTGCTGGAGTCCTCAGCTTCTGCAGGGGTGGGCAGTGGTGGGGGCAGAGGAATCCCATGGGCAGATCACATCTGGCTGCCAGCAACTGTGGCCACTTCCTTAAGGTGTCAGGCAGACCCTGACTGTCAGTGATAGGACACTGCTTGAGAAACATTGGCCCAGAGTAGTAACTTTCCAAGTTTCCTGAATCCTTTTTGCATTTTTCTTTTTTCTTGTCTTCTTTGAATCAAGCTCTTTTCCTTTTTCTTTTTTTTGTCAGTCATGGGGCTTGAACTCTGGGCCTGGGCACTGTCATAGCCACCACTTAATTAAAACGATGACTTTAAGATGTAAACATTTAGGAGTAAAAACCAAGTTAAGGAATGAATTCAGGGGCTCTTTGCCCATTGGTGTTGGATGCCATGTCCTATCTCTTCAGCTCTTGAGCTCTCAAACTCAAGGCGAGTGTTTTCTACCACTTGAGCCACAGTGCAACTTCCAGTTTTCTGGTGGTTCATTGGAGATAAGAGTCTCACCGTTTCCTTCCCTGGGCTGACTTTGATCCTCAGATCTCAGCCTCCTGAGTAGCTAGGATAACAGGCATGAGCCACTGGTGCCCGGCTTTTTTTCTTGTTCAAAGGAAATTTCATAATGAAGCTGGACCCCCAAAAGGAGATACAGCAACTTATAGTAGCCACAGAGATGGCTGAGAAGTACAGTGGGAAAACACAGACCTGAGTGGACACAGTGGAGGCTGAGGCAGGTCTCCCAATGCCCAGCCGAGGATTTCCATACACACAAATGGAAGGAGAAGGGGCATTCTTCATGTGATGGGGGGGGGGGGGGCTGTCAGGCCCAGAAGAGGCATGGGCCTTCCAAACACAGAAAACTGCAGAGATAAAGGTGCACAGGTGTGTAGACACGGGCACACACAGAGCCACAGGTGCCCCCGTGGCTGGGCAGTGATGTGGACCCAGCAGGAGGCAGAACTTTACAATAAGGTGGTGGGTCTCTGCAGGCCAAGATAATGGGTTGGAGTTTTTGCCTGAGGATTCTGGGGAGACATGAAGGTATTGAGATAAAAGGTCTCTGAGGAGGTCAGTGTGGGAGACAACTGTTATATGTCAGGCTGGAGACCACATTTATGAGAACACAGATGCTTGACTTAATAAATGGCAAGAAAATGCCTCTTCTAGGACTATTAGAACCCAAGCCAAGAGTCAGAGGGGAGCAAAGAAGCCTTCCAAACCAACCTCAGGATGGTCTCACTGGTACAGCAGTTTTCAAAGGGGATCATGTAGCCCACTTCGTGTCCAATGTTAACATCCATCTCGTCCGCCACTCGCAGGGCGAGCTGAACTGCCGTCTGCTTGTGGACCTGGGTGCAGATCACGCTCCCATGTTGGTAGTGGATGGAAAGGCAATATTCAGCACACCACTGAGGAACCTTTAATAGGCAACAATGACAGGATCAGTGCTCACTAGGAAGGACAAACGACGACAGACAAACTGAAAAAACAAAACAACCAAGGGGCTCGTTCTTTCTGGTTGCAGGATTCACTTTAGTTTTTTTAATTTTATTTTTACATTTCATTCTTTTTTCTTTTTGTGCTGGTTCTAGAGCCTGAACTTAGGGCTTCATGATCTCCTGTAGCCATTTTACTCCCATCTGAGCCTTGCCTCTATCCAGGGTTCATGTCCTAAAGGACTTTTCTCCTATCCATGAATCATCAGTGGACTGAATTAAATCTCACAGAGTGGTACTCTGAGCAATCTGAATTATGTGCTGCTATTACTACTCAAAATTTAAAAATATAAGGATATATGTCAGGCGCCAGTGGCTCACATCTGTAATCCTAGCTATTCAGGGGTGGGAACAGAGATCTGAGAATCAGTGTTCAAAGCCAGCCTGGGCAGGAAAATTTGAAGCCAGGAACGAAGTCTGTGAGACTACTATTTCCAATTAGTCACTCAAAAAGTTACAAGTGGACTGTGGCTCAAGTGATAAGATTACCAGCCTTGAGGAAAAAAAAGAAAAGAAAAGGCAAGGAATAGTCCCCAGGAACAGAGTTCAAGCCTTAGTACCAGCACAAAAAAGACATATGTTTTAAAAGGGAAACTGTAAAACCATATCTGACTCACAGATTAAAAGGTAGAATAAAAATGAAAATGAAAAACATCATGTTTTTCTTTGTTTTTTGTTTTTGTCAATCATGGGCTTGTATTCAGGGCCTGGGTGCTGTCCCTGAGCTCTTTTGCTCAAGACTTAGTGCTCCACCACTTTGAGCCACAGGTCCACTTTCATTTTTTTTTTTTGTGAGTGGTTAATTGAAGAATCTCACAGGGACTTTCCTGCCTGGGCTGGCTTCGAGCCGTGATCCTCAGATCTCAGCCTCCTGAGTAGCTATGATTACAGCAGGAGCAAGCAGGGCTCAGCAAAAAAAAGTATTTAAAATTTTTCAAAGACTAATATATTCACAGATCACAATTAAAACAGCTTCTTGTATCAGCTATTATAAGTAGTGTAAGTAGTGTATATATTAAATATCACTTAAATGAAAAATGACTCAAAATTAAAGCATTTACATTTAAATTTACATGTTCATAACAAATAACCACATAAGTCTATTTAACTTTTCTCTGGCAATAGAAGCTAAAATATCCTGGCAATTTATTACCTAAAAATAAAGTGAGTCAGATAATCAACCAACTCATGTGGATGTGGAAAGAACTGATCGCAAGCACCCCTGCTCTTCAGCTATTTTATTTGAAAAATCCTTTTATCTAAAATGTTATGTATTGGCTGATTTTTATCAAGTTCATTTATGTATTAGGAGAATATACTAAATTCATTTCTGTGGCACTGTTTACTAATTAAGCTTTGATACATCCATTAAAAATAATTTCAAGAGTTTTAAAATAGATCTGAGGTATTGAAACCTTGTAACATTTTTAATTATCTTGAGGTCTGCTATTTACTAGCCTCATTGTGTAAATAGATTTTAATCTAGGGTTTTTAATCTCACTGTAATTTGATAGCATTAATAATTCCAAAATGATTTGCTGCTGTGGCTGCATATCTGCAGTGATTAAAAAGTACAAATGTATTTATTCCTATCTTAGGCCTATCTTAATGCTTGCTTCATTTTGTAAAAGGAAGAAATTGTAGGATGCTGTAGTTGGGAAATCCAGAATTGAGGCATGACCTAGGGGATAATTAAGTACCTACAGGACCCCAGTCAGGGTCACGACTTCTCTACTTTTGCTTCCTTACTTGTAAAATGAGTGTATTTAGGGCACAACAACTGTCCTTCGAGTTTCAGGTCCCCGGTGCTTTCTCCAAGGCTTGGTGTAACCCTCTCCAACCCTCTCCAACTCCTCTCTGGGCATCGGTGGGCTCCCAGGCCCCCCTGGGGGGGGGGCGTGTCAGTGCCCAAAGCCATGACTCCTCACACCCTGGACTGGGCTGTGGCCTCTGACAGAGAGGAGGCCCATCTTCTGGGTCACCAAGTTACTCCAGTGCTCGATAACTATATGCTAAGTGCATAGAATGATTTCATATACTTTCCAGAAATGTTTAAAAATTCTATTATCCGGCTGGGAAGGTGGCTCAGTGGTAGAGCGCTTGCCTTGCATGCCTGAGGCCCTGGGTTCGATTCCTCAGCACCACATAAGCAAAAAGAAAAAAGCCAGAAGTGGCACTGTGGCTCAAGTGGTAGAGTATTAGCCTTGAGCTGAAGAGCTGAGGGACAGTGCCCAGGCCCAGAGTTCAGGCCCCACAACCAGACCCCCCCCCCCAAAAATTCTATTATCCTATATAGTCTACCTTGAATTCTAACCTAACTAGGAATTCACATAAAACTTTGTCTCCCTCATTCTCTGACAAGTAATGTTCTTTTCTTTTCTTTTTTTTCTGGTTGTAGGGCTTCAACTCAGGACCTGGGTGCTGTCCCTGAGCTCTTTTGCTCAAGGCTAGCACTATACCAGTTTGAGCCTCAGCTCCATTTCTAGTTTTCTGTTTTTTGTTTTGGAGTGGTTAATTGGACATAAGAGTCTCACAGGGACTTTCCTGCCTGGGCTGGCTTTGAATGGCAATCCTCAGATCTCAGCCTCCTGAATAGCTATGATTATAGAAGTGAACCACCAGCATCTGGCTGTAAGTGATGTTCTTATTCTTGACAAACCCTTACCTGCAAGCTGATTTCCTTCCTGTCTGAGTTCACCATTTAGGGTTCCTGGCCAAGAACTTGGATAGCACTTAGATGCAAAGCTTTGTTAAAAATCACCTTTTGAAATTTTAGCTCCCCAATAAAGAGGAAGGCTCATAAGCACATAAATGTGGTTCACATTTGTTTCTAATATTAGCAATGGACATGGTAGGGACTGTAGGCATTTGGATGCATGGATGGTTGTGTGGATAAGAACATCGACATCAACATCATCAACATCATCATCATCATCATCATCATCATCATCATCATCGAGAGAACAGAGCACTAGTGCTCATTTCTGTAATCCTAGCTACTAAGGAGATTGAAATCTGAGGATCAAGTTTCAGAGCCAGCTAGGACAGGTAAGTCCATTAGACTCTTACCACCAATTAACCAGGAAAAAGCTGAAAGTGGAGAATTATCTCAAATTACAGAGCACCACTCTTGAGTGAAAAAGTTAAGGGACAGTGCCCAGGCCCTGAGTTCAGTACCAACACACACACACACTAAAAAAAGGGAGAGAGAAAAATTGGGACTCAGGACTATGCATGGGAGAGAAGTAACAAGACCATAACAAGACCAAGGGTCATTTCTTTCAGGGGAAGAATAAGTAGTACTCACAGCTAATTGTATCAGAAAAAAAACAACAAATATTACATGGTTTCTAATTTAATATACTGAAGTTAATGCCACAATTAACAAGAAATTAGTGAAACAAAAAGGATGAATGAAATGATACAGCAGTGTTCTTTTGGGGGGAAGGAGGAGTTAGCAGGCTAGGAGGTAATATCTGGGAAGTCAAGATGGCAGCCAGTGGTAAGATCACCTAATCAATGATGACATCAGGTGAGCTAGCTTGAGAGTGACCTCAAAAGAGGCTGGACCCTGAGAGGCAAATGGGGTGGGTGCTCACAGGGAGCGATGGAGGCCACAAGGAAACAGAACTAGCACAGTCCTTCTGTATAACAAATAAAACGTGAAGTGGAAGACTGGGCATAATGTATTTTGCTTAGAGGCCACATTCACAGCTGAGCAAAAAAATCACAGCTACTCACAGAAAGCCCACTCAGTTGTGGCTCTGATTAGACAAGACGTAACAATGATACACAGATTCTAACAGCAGGGAGGTTCTGAAGAGATGAAGAAGCTGCGTGGGACTGTGTCCTGTGTTAGACTTTCTGTACTGGAGTACTCTGGATCACTCTAGGCAAGCTAAAATGTTCTGATTTCAACTCTTCAGAAAACTCAAAGCACTGGCTGGAAATGTGTACATTTGATCATTTCAGGGGACATTAAGCGTGGAGCTTTCCAAGGAACTCTAGCTTTGGCTGCTCTGTGATAAATGCTGCATCAGTGCTGCTGCTCTGACCCTGATTATCCTCACCTGGAACTTCTCCATTGTCCCAGGAGCGCCTTCCCCTTCTCACACGAATACCTGTGGAAAAGGCCTCACTTCTCCCTGGAAGATCTTCCCCACCAGGACTTAGGGTGAGCAGGTGCCCAGCAGGCACTGTGGGAACCAGGGAAGCATGGGAAACTCCATTTGGCTCAGTTCTGTCTTCAGAGAAACGAAATTCCAGGCCATTGTGACTTAAATGGCACTTAACATGTAGCAAGAGTTATACAGCCTGATGAAAAAAAAATTGACCTGCTCCTTTAGCAGTTTTATAAAGTCTTATAAAGCAACTTGTCTGGGAGTTTTGGCAACATACAACTCTCAAATTTATATACTCTGACTGATGGGACATCTTTTCTCAGTCTGCATCTAAACGCAGCTTTATGTACTGAGATGTACCCACATGTTCAAGTCTGAGCAGTGAGGTGTGCCTTGTCCTCTGGCCCAAAGCAGGTCTGGGCTTGATGGGACACATTAGAACAGGTGATAAGAATGTGCAAATTGGTCTCTTATCTCCTGCCCACAAGGAAATCCTAGGATTCAGGCCAACCTGCTGCTATGGTAAGATGGGTGGGTAGCCAAGACCTAACGTGTCAGCTGCAGTGCTGGTGGAGCTCAGCAGCTTAAATGTATTCAGAAGTAAGGTGGTGTGCACAGAGGCAGGGCTGCTCGATTCTGGGGAACTCAGTGTCCAGGGTCCTCAGGTCAGTTGAAGAGATATTCTGTAAGACTCCTTGTCAAGCTGCAGATCAAAACCAAGGGAGCAACAGCAGAAAACTTTGGGTATGACCTTGCGGCCATAGTGGCAAAGTATGCCTGCAAGAACAGTACTATGTTGGA